AATTATATTTTTAATATTATTAATAATATTATATAATTGTTATATTATCATGATAAATATTATTTCTTGTTAATTATTATCTATACATATATTATATATATATATATTGTATGTTCACAGAAAACTATTAACATGGCTTTGCGTACATATGGTGATAAACCTATAAGTTTCCAAGTGGAAGAAAATGGAGAATATTATTGTATTGGATCTGAAGTAGGCAATTATTTACGTCTATTTCGAGGATCATTATATAAACGTTATCCTGGAATGTTTAGAAGATCTATTACAAATGATGAACGAAAAAAATTAGTAGAACTTGGTTTAAGTCAGCATGTACTTGCATCCAGTGTGTCTCTTTTAAGAGCTAGTGAAGTAGAAGATATTATTGAAGGCAATGATGATAAATATAAAGCTGTATCAGTACATTCAACAGAACCTCCAGCTCCTAGGGAAGGAAAATCAAAAAAATCAATGCCTTGGGTGCCTAGTTTACCAAATAGTTCACATTTGGATGCTGTACCTCAAGCTACACCAATTAATCGTAATAGAGTACATAATAAAAAAGTCAGGACATTTCCTTTATGGTAAATATTATGATATGACAAATTTTTTCTTTTTCGTATAAACATATATTTGAAAGATAATTTTTATTTTATAAAAATTGATAATTCATATATAAAACAAATATAATTAAATATTATTAATCAATATTATTAATATTATAATAAATATTAAATAATTAATTAATATCTTTATATATTTTTTTAGTTTTGATGATACAGATCCATCAGCAAATTTGGAAAATGCAGCACAACAAGAAATGTTAGTTCCAATCCGTTTAGATATGGAAATTGAAGGACAAAAATTGAGAGATACTTTTACATGGAATAAAAATGGTATGATTTATTACTAATTGTAATCACATAATAAAATATATGTTAAAATTATTAATTAATATAATCTTTTATATGATATAAAAATTAACTTATATTAAAAAATTTTATGTGTGCGTGTGTACGTGCTCGCGCGTACGATTTATAATTAAATTATACACAATCATATCTGCGCGCGCGCGCGCGTTATATATATATATATAAAACAAAACAAATTTTTCCTTTCAGAAAGTCTTATAACTCCAGAACAATTTGCTGAAGTATTATGTGATGATTTAGATTTAAATCCATTAAGCTTTGTACCAGCTATTGCACAAGCTATAAGACAACAAATAGAAGCTTTTCCACAAGAAACAATATTAGAAGATCAATGTGATCAACGAGTTATAATTAAATTAAATATACACGTAGGCAATACATCTTTAGTAGATCAAGTAGAATGGGATATGTCTGAAAAAGAAAACAATCCTGAAAAATTTGCAATGAAACTTTGTGCTGAATTAGGACTTGGTGGTGAATTTGTTACTGCTATTGCTTATAGGTAAATATAAATTATTTAAAATATATATTACTAAAATTCATTAATATTAATTTCAATAAAATTTATTTATTATATAGTGTACGTGGACAATTATCATGGCACCAAAGAACTTATGCATTTTCTGAAGCACCTTTACCTACAGTAGAGGTACCTTTCAGACCACCTTCAGAAGCTGATCAATGGGCACCATTTTTAGAAACGCTAACAGATGCAGAAATGGAAAAGAAAATACGCGATCAAGATCGAAATACACGGTAAATATTATATAATTTATAAATATTATATAATTTATGTTTATAATTATAATCTATAAAAATTAATTCCTGATTACAATATTTTAATGATTTTTGTTCTAGACGTATGAGACGTTTAGCAAACACAACACCTGGATGGTAACATGTAAATTAATAACAAATCGCGATATATATTTGTAGATTCAGAAGATATCCATTTTTATCATTTTTAGAATTTTTTAAATTTTGAATATAATAATAAAACTTTATGTTAAAATTTAAATAGAAAATAAAATACATTTTAATACAAATTTATACATTTATCAAAATTACAATATAACTACTATACTTAATATAAAAACTTATCTATTATGAAAAAGCATTCCTATCTTTTCATAATCATTCCCTCTTTATATGTTCTTATTTATATATGGTGATTGATCTTATATAACAAGAAATAAAAAATAGTTCTTGATATCTATTTAATTTTAACTGTTGAAATGTATGTCATGTGATCATATAATGAAATTCATAATATTGATAAGAAATTTAAAATGGCTTTTTATTAATGTAGATCAAACTAATCTAAAGTATTTCATTGTTTAAAAATATTATAAAGTAAAATGAAATATATTTAATTATTAAGTGAATTAAATAAATAATTTATTTTATTCCTAGTCATTAATTTTGATTGTTTTAATAATATTTTAGTATTTATATAATAAAAAAAAAAGTAGTTTTAAAACTTTTTAAAAATTATAATTAGTATATAATTGATATTATTATTGTTATTATTATTATTATTGTTATATTATATTATAAATAATTGATTAATAAAAATATTAATATTAAATTAAATAAAAAGAAAAATTTATAAAATATGATATAAAAAGATTATAAGTATAATAAAATAAATAAATAAAAAGATTATAAATAAATATAATAAAATCATGCTTTGATTTAAAATATTTTGATATTTATTTTGAAATTTTTTGATATTTGAAATTAGAATAATATATTACTGATATAAAAGAAATTTTTGTTATTGCACTCATAATCGCCTGTTTTATCATTATGTTTCTTCTTCAATATTATAAGACATCACTTATAAAATGTAAGTGTGAGTAAAAGAAATTGATTGAGGAAGGGATATCTACGCGCATCGAAATGTACTGAGTCAGTATGTAGTACTGACATTAATCGACTCAGTTCACATTTGACGTGTAACAGAACGGACTGCTAGTAATAAAAAATAGATTTAAAAGATGGATATTAGTTTATTAATATATAAATTATTACAACAATCAAGTACAACTTCAACATTCCAAAATAATCCATTTCCTCATAGACCTTGGCTTACTGATACTGGAACTGCTGCAGCGGTTGCCAAAGGCGGTGTCAAAGGAATCGTAGCTGGTATTTACTTTATATATATATATATATTTTTTTTTTATATTTTCTATATTAATAATTTTAATAATTCTTTAATGCAATTAATATTTTTATTTAAAAAATTTTTTAAAATATAATATCGCAACAAATAAAAAAAATATTAAAAATAAAAAAAAAAAAAGAAAAAACTGAATTTATAATGCAATTAAAAATATGAAATATGAAATATTTAATTTCGAAAGCATGAATTAAAATTAATTTTTTAATTTGTAATATTTTTCATTATTAATATATATCATATATTTTTCTTTCAAATTTTAATAATTTTAGATTGAATTTTTTTTATTTTCAATCAATTTTTAATAATTTTTTAATAAAGTATTAATGACATATGAATTTTTTAGGAGGTATTACTGGTGCTATAGAAATACTTATTACTTATCCAACTGAATATGTAAAAACACAATTACAGCTTGATGCAAAAAGTGGAATTAATAAGCAATATACAGGAGTATTGGATTGTATGATAAAGACTTTAAAAAATCATGGATTTTTTGGTTTATATAGAGGTCTTTCAGTATTACTTTATGGTTCAATACCAAAATCAGCTGTACGCTTTGGTTCTTTTGAAAAGATGAAAGAATTATTAGCAAGTCCAGATGGAAAACTTACTAAAACAAATAGTTTTATAGCAGGTTTATGTGCTGGTACAGCTGAAGCTATTTTTGTAGTTACTCCTATGGAAACTATTAAAGTAAAATTCATAAATGATCAACGATCTCCTAATCCAAAATATAGAGGATTTCTTCATGGAGTAGGAATGATCACAAAAGAATATGGTAATAAATAGAATAATTATTTCAAATAAAAAAAATT